AAAAAAAAAAAAATAAAAAAAAAAGAAAAGAAAAGAAAAAAAGCATTGCTGGATAAAGTCCAAAAGATGAAAAATAGGGGTTGACTTTGGCGCTCTTTAGCCTTTAATCAGCACAAGAGTCACAAATTCTTCTCTTCTCTCTCCCTTATCTTTCCAACCCCACTGATATCTCAAAAAGGTCTATAAATAGGGAGAACCAAGCCACATTATACTCACTCAGCAATCATCTCTTGCATACTTTCATATATACATTATCGTGCTTGTTGTTAAGCAAAACATGGCATCCTCAAAGGCTTTTCTTCTTCTTGGTCTTGTCTTTGCTGTTCTCCTCATCTCCTCTGAGGTCTCAGCTGCTCCAACTCGTGAGTTTCTCACTTTCTTTACTAAATCATATATTTTAAATTAGTAATTGTATTCCAGTAACGATTTGTGCATTTAGGCACATTTTAATTAAGGTGCACTGGTCGTGAAAATGATTATGCTTCGAACTCTTTTTCTGCATGTAGGGTTAGTGGTTGTTGCACTTGCATGGCTTAATTTGCACCTTATTAAATACAAACCGATCTATGATTGTTATAAGTTATGTATATTTTTTTTGCTTTATATATGAAGTTTTTGTTTGTTCTCTCAGAGGAGAGTACAGTCAACGGTGATGATTTTCTAGATGACCATGGCCACGGACATGGAGGTTATGGCCACGGACATGGAGGGTATGGCCACGGACATGAAGGGTATGGCCACGGACATGGAGGGAATGGCCACGGACATGGAGGAAATGGCCACGGACATGGAGGGCATGGCCATGGCCACCACGGCAAAGGGGGGCCTGGTGCTGCTGAGACTGAAATCGAGAATTAGATAACCTGTTAGTTTCTGTGACTTACGTTGCAGGTGTGTTGTAAGGGTAGTAGTACGAAATAAAGTTGTTTGGTTGAGTAATCTATATGAACTCTCAATCATAGACTCGTCTTAAGCTTGTTCTCGTGTTCTCTGTAATTTACGCAAATGTGTTCTCTTGTTATGTGCTAAAATGTGATTTAACTTGCTCAATACATATTATGTCAAAAATGTCGGGTATATATGGCTTGACTCCTTAAAATTGAGGAGGAGCACATCCTCACAACAAATGAGATTTTGGTACTTGTTAAAATTAAAAACAAAAAAAAAGAGGTTAAAAGAATTCAATAAGCAAAACATGGCATCCTCAAAGGCTTTTCTTCTTCTTGGTCTTGTCTTTGCTGTTCTCCTCATCTCCTCTGAGGTCTCAGCTGCTCCAACTCGTGAGTTTCTCACTTTCTTTACTAAATCATATATATTAAATTAGTAATTGTATCTTTCTTTCCAGTAACGATTTGTGCATTTAGGCACATTTTAATTAAGGTGCACTGGTCGTGAAAATGATTATGCTTCGAACTCTTTTTCTGCATGTAGGGTTAGTGGTTGTTGCACTTGCATGGCTTAATTTGCACCTTATTAAATACAAACCGATCTATTATTGTTATAAGTTATGTATATTTTTTTTGCTTTATATATGAAGTTTTTGTTTGTTCTCTCAGAGGAGAGTACAGTCAACAGTGATGATTTTCTAGATGACCATGGCCACGGACATGGAGGTTATGGCCACGGACATGGAGGGTATGGCCACGGACATGGAGGG